GGATTTGACCATTCCCAACAGGTCTTTGCCATCCCAGGGCAGTTCTGCTCGGGAGAAAATCTGAGTTTCTTCTCGGGCACAGAGGCCTCCAGCACCCGATTCCACGGTGCTTTTGCTGCCTGTCAGGGATCCTGTTCCCAGCCAGAGCAGCTTCTCACTGGAGCTGAAATTTGCTCTTTTTCCCCCAACAGAACGATGGCATCTGCACCGTGGGGGTCGAGAGCACTTATGTGCCCTCTGCCAGTGGCCAGCCCCTCTGGATCCTCGGCAACCTCTTCCTCAGGCAGTATTACTCCATCTTCGACATGGCCAACAACAGAGTTGGCTTTGCCCTGGCAACTTAGGGATGCTGAGCATCACCCATGGCAGAATTTGCCCCTGGAACACCTTCTCCTCCTTTGGATCTGTGCGGGGTGATAAGTAGTGAATAAAGGGCTGCAAATCCAGCTGCCTCGTGTCTCCTCTGGCTGCAGCTGAGCAGGGGCTGGTACAGCTTTTCTTGGTGGAACAGCAAAATCTGAGCTCATGCTCGAGATTTTCAGGCACTTCCTGATGTGCTCGGAGCCTTTGGATTGCAGCAATGGCAAACTGGGGTTGGTTTTTTTTTTTAATGGGACCCGGATGCCTGCTGGGGCTGGCTGGGAAAACTGGGATGAGTGGGAGAATTTCAGGCTGCACCATGTGCTCAGCTCGAGAGACTCCAGGGCTGAGCTGCTGTGGTGGCTGGAGGCTTCAGGAACCAGTTTGGAGCAGGACGTGCAGAACAAGGAGCTGCGTGTGAACAGCTCCGGGTTCCTTCGGTTTGGGGGAATTGCCCACGTGTATTTGCAAATAAATTAGGGATTTAAAAGTGTCATGCAAGGGCGCTCATGATCCTTGCGCGAGGGGCTGCACAATCCTGGTGCGAGCAGCGACATGACCCCGGGGCTGCGCGGTCCCCGTGCCAGGGGACGCACGACACTTGTGCAAGGAACTGCACGATCCTGGTGCAAAGGGCTGCACGGCGCGGGCACAGCCCTGCCTTCACCCCGCTCCGGGGGTGGAAAACCCGATTTTTGGGGAGGANAGGATCACACCAGGTTCAACCACAGCCTGTCGTCCACCTTCCTGGGCACCGACGTGACCTACACCCTGAGATATGGGTTCGGGGACCTGTCGGTGGTGCTGGGATATGACACGGTGACAGTAAGTGACTCCTGACCTGTTGGTGTGTGGCTGCATCAGGGTAAGAGGTGCCTGTGGTTACAATCAGTCTAATTTGCTTAAAAACTCGGGGAGTAGCTGAAAGTACCTTCTCATTCTGGGGGTTAGTTTAAGGTGTGTCAGCATGAATTTACTCCAACACTGGGATCTGCAAACAAACTCATTCCGAGTCCTCTGGGCTTTCCACCCCTGGTTTGGGATAAGGGATACCTTTGGCCACAAGAATTTGCTTTATATACATCTGAGCTTTGTCCTTACAGGACATAAGAGATGTGAAAATGTGATTTTAAATTACTTTAAGAGGCCCTGGTTTTTAATTAATTTAAGATGCAAAACCATTTAGTGAGTATTTTTATGAAACAATGAGTGATGGGACAAAGACTGTGAGTCAGGCTGCTCCCGACCCCATCGGCAATGGGGATGAGCTCAGCATCTCCCAGTGTAGATTTGCCTTTGTGACCAAGCTTCCCTCTCCCTCTAGATCCAGAACATCGTCATCAGGAACCAGGAGTTTGGCCTGAGCCTGTATGAGCCCAGCAGACCCTTTTACTACCTGGATTTTGATGGGATTTTGGGCATGGCTTACCCAGGCGTTGCCATCAGTGGTTTCAACACGCTGATGCAGAACATGCTGCAGCAGAACCAGCTCAGTGAACCCATCTTCAGCTTCTACTTCTCTCGGTGAGACCTCTGGCAGTGGGTCCCTCTTCCACGGGCGCAGCGTGGGTCCATCCTTTCCTGCATCCTCACCTTCTCCCCACTCACCTCTGTGCTCCAGCGCTTCCCGTGGATCATCCTACCTGATTTTTGGTCTCATTTTGTGTCTTTCCAGCAACCCAACATATAGTTACGGTGGGGAAGTCATCCTGGGGGGGGCTGACCCCCAGCTGTACTCCGGGGAGGTTTTATGGGCTCCTGTGGTCCAGGAATTGTACTGGAAGATCAGTATCGAGGAGTAAGTGCTGCCCCACAGCTCAGGGCGGGTCTTGGAGCGGGGGAGCCTTTTCTGACGCCTTTCCTGCTGGTTCTCCAGGTTCTCCATTGGGTATTCAGTCACCAGCTGGTGCAGCCAGGGCTGCCATGGCATTGTGGACACTGGGACATTCCTGCTGACCATCCCAGGGCAGTTCATGCCAGCCCTGCTGCAGGCGCTGGGCGCAGAGGAGAGTGACTACGGGGTAGGTAGGCAGGAGGCACCGGGTGATGCCGAGGGACAAGGACACACCTGGGAGCAAAACATCTCACCTGGAACAGCCCTGCAGTGCTGTGAAACAGAAATAATTCTTCCAAACGTGACAAGTGTGGGGCAGCACAACCCTGGCACCATCAGAGCTGTGCTGATCCTTAAGGAGTGTGGCCACCGGCACAAGGCCAGTGCCAGCCCGGGGGTCCTGACCCCTCTGCCCCTCTTTGCCTCTCTTGCAGTTCCTCGTTGACTGCAGCAGTGTCCCAAACATGCCCACCCTCTACTTTGCCATCAGTGGGGCCTGGTTGTCGCTGCCTCCCACTGTCTATGTCCTAGAGGTAGGTGGGATTTGACCATTCCCAACAGGTCTTTGCCATCCCAGGGCAGTTCTGCTCGGGAGAAAATCTGAGTTTCTTCTCGGGCACAGAGGCCTCCAGCACCCGATTCCACGGTGCTTTTGCTGCCTGTCAGGGATCCTGTTCCCAGCCAGAGCAGCTCCTCACTGGAGCTGAAATTTGCTCTTTTTCCCCCAACAGAACGATAGCATCTGCACCGTGGGGGTCGAGAGCACTTATGTGTCCTCTGCCAGTGGCCAGCCCCTCTGGATCCTCGGCAACCTCTTCCTCAGGCAGTATTACTCCATCTTCGACATGGCCAACAACAGAGTTGGCTTTGCCCTGGCAACTTAGGGATGCTGAGCATCACCCATGGCAGAATTTGCCCCTGGAACACCTTCTCCTCCTTTGGATCTGTG